TTGCAATCCAGAAAGAAAAAACAAACTCACGAAAGAAAACTACTGATATACTCAAAGGAGATAGAATTACTTGCAATCCAGAAAGAAAAAACAAACTCACGAAAGAAAACTACTGATATACTCAAAGGAGATAGAATTACTTGCAATCCAGAAAGAAAAAACAAACTCACGAAAGAAAGCTACTAGTGCTGTAAACATTTCAAAATAGTACATATCCATTCTAAACTAGTTCAGCTGGAGATAGAAAACACAGGAAACTATAACTAAATTATTTAAAGTAATATTTATACATACATATATATTAAATTAGTTTAGCTAGAAATGAGAAGAACGGAAACATGCCATTAATCATTGCACTGCAGAACGTTCGTGAAATCGAAGGTAGTTTTGAAATAAATATCAAGGTAAGTTTTTTTCTCTTCTGTCACGTTCTTCCCTGATTCCAGTGTGTCCTTCTAACAGATCACTTCTTCTGCATCTCGTCAATTACGTAGTTTTGTAATTACAAGGAGTCGAGTGTGTACGGTTTGGGTTCTTGTATGCATAAAAAAACCTGTAAATGCGTCTTCCTGCGCCAAATCTCTGATGAAACGCTGTCACATTCAATGTAAAATATATTTAATGAACTTCTTAGAATTACTAACAAGGGATTCCTTATTTGTTTGTTAAGGTAAGTAATGTATATCATCAGTTTTATATTTGGTGGTATACGGAAAAGGCCTCTGATCAGTATGTTAAAATGCACTGTTAACAACTAGTTAAATTAGTGTGCCTTTTGAAGGTTTTATTGATCTTTTGTTTTTGTTTCCAAGAGGGAAAATTAATATTTAGGACTTTATCCTTCTTCTTTTTTGAATTGTTCTATCGCTGGACTACAACTAATAACACGAGACTTTGAAAACATTAAGTACCATGTTAACCTTTCCATCAGGAAAAACCAAAGTTTGATATTCCAACTGGGAGTAGAAGTTTCTACATACACGCAGAGTTCAGGTCTCCGGGGCTACGGTTTCTCGTTTTATTAGAATAATACCGTTAGCTTTATATTAAGATCTCCACGTGCGGTAGAGTGTGCCGAGTTTGATGCCAGTCATTAATCATGAACTCAAGCAGCGACACATGAATAGTTTGGCCTCTGCTACCAGGATGTCACGGGACGGTATCGATCCCCATTTCTCGGTACTGTAGGCACTCAACTTTACGGAACATCTCCTTAGAAAACACTCATTTACATCCAAATGGGATGGTACTGATTAAAAGCCATAGACGAAAATGTATCGTAAGCTGGAAACAGTCTATTTTAATATTCATACAGAGTAACGTATACACGATTTGTCAGATTGAACAGGAAAAAGCCATCTAACATCGTCACTTTCTTGACAAGCTAAATGTTTTCCAGCTCTTTCACAATTTGCTACTTTTCCTCTCCTTTCTGTAATATATTCAAACACATTTTCATAAGTTCGTTTGAAATACCTCTTTCTATAAGTACAGGAAATCACAATAATCTTGAGACAATATCCGGGGCTGGAAAAAGAGACTTTGGGAAAGTAACTTCACTGAATAATTGGAGCATGACTATATGTATAAATATCTAAGATCTGTAAAGCATCCGGTCGACCAATTACACTAATGCGTAATTTAAGTGTAAATAAATCACGTATTAAAACAGTCGTCTCTTCGCGCGTGGTTACAGTACTGTGAAGATAATTCCTATCGTGTGAACAATGGAAAACTGAATAGGCTCCAGGAAAAGCTAGGTTCACGCCCTCATTTTAATTCTGTTTGAAAGTTTGAAGATGCTGATCGTGTGTTAAACAGTAAATAAATATGATTAATCCTATACGAACCTTTCGTAGAAAACGTAATAATATTCGTGTGATTTGAGCAACGCCATTAAAAGTAACGGTTCATAACCATGTGTTAAGTCAAATCAGTAAAAGTAACGGTACATAACCATTTGTTAAGTCACGCCAGTAAAAGTAACGGTATATAACCATTTGTTAAGCTACGCCAGTAAAAGTAATAATACATAACTCTTTGTTAAGCAACGCGAGTAAAAGTAACGGTAGATAACCGTTTGTTAAGTCACGCCAGTAGAAGTAATGGTACATAACCATTTGTTAAGTCACGCCAGTAAAAGTAACGGTACATAACCGTTTGTTAAGTCACGTCAGTAAAAGTAACGGTACATAACCATGTGTTAAGTCAAGTCGGTAAAAGTAACGGTACATAACCATTTGTTAAGTCACGCCAGTAAAAGTAACGGTAGTGCATTAACAACCTGATTGTAAGATGGAAAAGCATCATTGATAAGAATGGAGACTATTTCATTTAATAAATGTTTTGTTTTGATATATAAGTTGTTCGGGTTTTTTTATCTAAAAAAAAGCGATATTAATTTCTTGACGACCTAATACATTATTGTAAATATTTCATGAATTTATTGTTAGTGTGACACCGATGACACTTTGTAGTACAAGCATTAGACGTACAGATACAAAGAGTAAATTGTGTTTTATTTTACCCGAAAAGAGATATGTTCCAGTCTTTCGAGTTATTTATTACATCCACAACTGTCAATTATACTCAGTCTGATGGTCATGATTACATTCCTTAAAACAAACGGTTATGTACCGTTACTTTTACTGATTTGACTTAACACATGGTTATGTACCGTTACTTTTACTGGCGTGACTTAACAAATGGTTATATATCGTTACTTTTACTGGCGTGACTTAACAAATGGTTATATGATTAAAGAAATCACTTGGCTTTGAAGCAAAAAAAACATGTCGATGTCCTCTTTAACACCTTCCACATTTGCATATGTTTTCCCATTAAGATGGTGTTGCAGCGAACGAAAAAGATGGTAATCTGATGGTGCCATATCTGGAGAATATGGTGGGTGGGGAAAACTCCCCAACCCAACTCCATAATCTTGTGTTGCGTCAAACGTGCCACATGTGGAGATGCATTGTCGTGGAGAATAAGTACACCTTTCCGATTGACAAGTGAAGGGCGTTTCTGATGAAGGGCTTGATTTAAACGTTCCAGTTGCTGACTATAGATCTCTGCATTGACAGTTCGCTGTGAATTGAGGGGTTCCCAATGAATAACTCCTTTGATTTCCCACCAAATGCAAAACATCACTTTCTGTGGATGGAGTGCAGGTTTTGGGCTTGGAAGTGGTTTTGTCTAGGACTGAGCCATTGTTTTTGGCATTTAATATTTGCACAAAGAATCCATTTTTCATCAACAGTGACAATTCTGGCCAGAAGAGACGAAGCAATGTTCACACGTTGGAAACGATAATCATCGGAGAGTTCGTGAGGAACCCAACACCTTCTTTATGGAGTTTTCCCATAATCCTTGGATGTTTACGCATTGTTTCATGAAACATGCAATTTCATTGCCATTTCATGAGTGTGTTGCCTTGGGACAGATTCAACAAGCATCTTCAGAGCCCCTGCCATCACACATTTTAAGGCTAAAGTCATCTGAATGAAATCTGCTGAACCATCATTGACACTTACGAATTTTCAAAACATTTCCATAAACTTCTTTGATATTCTTTGTGGCTACAGAGGCATTGTTTCCCTTCTTGTATTCAAACAGCATTACATGCCAAATGTGTGTCTTGTCGTGTGCCATCACTATAAGGGATTAAAGCATACTAAACTTTACACATTATACAGGCTACACTAATGTGACATTTAGGTAGTTCGTTTAACTATTATATGTGATGTACGTTTTTCTGGGGAGTGGTTAATGAAAGTGTTCCAAAATGCGACATTAATTTCTTGACAACCTACTACATTTATCAT